AAATACTGATATAGAAGTTATGTTCAAGCACTGTTCCCCTTATATAAAGCAAATCTGGCATTGAAAACAAATGTGATTTCATCTCAAAAAATATCCTGAAACACAAGTGGTAAACTAGTCATAACTCTTGTTACATGCCTTCATTATAGTACTGGTTGTATGTCATTATCAGGTTATTACCGTTTACTGGTAGCATAGTGGTTGTCGCATCAGACTCATGATCGGTAGACCCAAGTTCAAATCCTACCTTCGGCTGAACATCAAAAGGGTCGACCCCTACCCTGGGTGAGTGTGCCACAGATTCAATGGGAAGGCCAATTCCACTGGCCGAGATTCATTCACCAACGAATGCTACTTTGGGGGAACCTTGGTTAAGGTCCGCAGGTGCTTGTGTTCGACCGAGCCTGGATGGCGCATTAAAATTGCCATTTAATAGGGAGATGGCCACACGGCCCTGTCATGTAGTCCCAAACAGGAAATGACTTCTGTGGCAAAATGCACTATGTGTCAACACTAGCACTTGCAAGTTGCACTTACAAAATAGAAAAAAGTCAGGAGAGACAACAGTGACATTCAATGTCCGGAACTGTCGCCTGGCACAAAAACATTTAAAAAAAGTCTTCATCAGTAACCGTGCTTGAGATATCACATTTATGCATATTAATGAGGTCACTTGAACCCATTTATGCAAAGTAGGTAATTAATATGCATGGATTTCAACCCTGAAGTAACAGATCTGTGGTTTATCCGAAAACACTAATGTACCAAGTTTCATTGAAATTTGATGAGTGGTACTCAAGATATTTATGGAACACCTAGAAATTGGTTAATTTATGCTGAGTAGGTAATTAGTAAGCACAAAATTAAACTCTAAGCTCAACATGTAACATGTATATGGCTTATCCCAGAGTATCAATGTACCAAGTTTCATTGAAAACTGATGAGTGGTTGAGATATTTGTGAAACAGGTATCAATATATAAAGTTTTATTGAAATCTGTTAGGTAGTTTCTCAAAGAATAAAGGAAAAATGCTTAAAATGATAATTAATATGTACATATAGTAACCAGAAACTAATCAGGTCTGCACATTATCCCAGACCATCTATGTACCAAGTTTCATTCAAATCTTATAAGTAGATCTTGGTTTATCAATGGAAAATACACAGGCAAAGTCTCCCATTGTGTGCCTCAAACACAGGAGTAAAAAACAGATAGAATCAAATAAATGCAGAGATAAATAGAATTTCTGTATTCAACCAGTATAAAGTACTGTGAAAAAAAACAATATTCCTCGTCCTGCATGTAGCAACATAACACTGAAAGGGTGGTGGTCGTTGTTGAATATTGTGTAAAAAAACAATGTATTTTACATGCATTGAGTAGGTCCTATATCGAATACATTGTGACATGATGACCAACACCCTTTAACTATTTTTAGCTCAAAAACATTCCAGCAATTACAATTTATGCAGTCGTTTTTCAAAACAATCAGCTTTTCAATAATTTCAGAAATTTAATAGCCTAGTAATCATATATAATTACCTAGTAATCATATATAATAGCCTAGTAATCATATATAATAGCCTAGTAATCATATATAATAGCCTAGTAATCATATATAATAGCCTAGTAATCATATATAATAGCCTAGTAATCATATATAATAGCCTAGTAATCATATATAATAGCCTAGTAATCATATATAATAGCCTAGTAATCATATATAATAGCCTAGTAATCATATATAATAGCCTAGTAATCATATATAATAGCCTAGTAATCATATATAATAGCCTAGTAATCATAAATAATAGCCTAGTAATCATATATAATAGCCTAGTAATCATATATAATAGCCTAGTAATCATATATAATAGCCTAGTAATCATATATAATAGCCTAGTAATCATATATAATAGCCTAGTAATCATATATAATAGCCTAGTAATCATATATAATAGCCTAGTAATCATATATAATAGCCTAGTAATCATATATAATAGCCTAGTAATCATATATAATAGCCTAGTAATCATATATAATAGCCTAGTAATCATATATAATAGCCTAGTAATCATAAATAATAGCCTAGTAATCATATATAATAGCCTAGTAATCATATATAATAGCCTAGTAATCATATATAAAAGCCGCAACAAATAATTCAATTATCTAAAGCATTTTATTCACTATTCTATGGCTAATAAGAATAGACTAAATTATGTCAGAGAGATTTTATAATAGAGGCACTGTAAAAAATAAATTTAGTACATATGTCTCAGTTTATTAAATTTCAAATGTTTTTTTTATGTACTCAGAATTAAGTATAATTTGAAGATGAGTTCTGCAATAAACTCAATTGCAATAACAAATTGGAATACTATAAAGGCATTGATTCTCACTGGAAGTTGTTTTAGTACAATGGATATTTTGAGCATATCCACTGGGTTTGAACTTCATGGATTTGGCACTGAAACAATGGAATTTTAATTGTTCATGTGGATTTAATATAATTTAATATAACAATTTTCACGGCAAAATGAAAACCCAATAAGTAAGTTTTCATTCAAAAAAAAAAACTCAAATTCCCAGTTATAATAATAAAAATGTTCCTAAGTGATGTTCGCTGTGTCACACATCGCTGTACAAAACATAAATACAAATCACATTAAGAGAAAAATTATTTAAAAAAATAAAATAAAAAGTTTTCAAATTGAATTGATCTAATTTGTGGCCTGTTACATAAGCAATTGCACACAACTATTTCAGCACAATTGGTTTTAAATTCCAGATTAATTTTGAATTGCTGACACTGGGGTGTGTAACAGGATATGTAATAGAGGTAGTTTTTGCCATAGGAGTGCTGTTCTTACGTTACAAGGTTACTGACAGCGTTAAGAAAAGACTAGGGGTGAATTATAGAAAGTATTCTCAGAATTTACTGTTTACCATAAACATATTCATTGAACATCAAAGTATATACAGCAGTCTACATCATTACCCATTACAGTCAACTCACCTCCCCTATCTTTTCTTCGTATCCCACGACAACAGCTGCACCAGCTCCAGCAATTAATGCCAGTACAAGTAGATTGGTACCCAATCTACCCATCCAGATTCCAAATATCTCACATTTTGTGTACACTTTCTTGTCATGTTGGCTTGATAATCGTTCCTGTAAAATAGGGTTTTAATTTGTTAAAGCGCAAAGTTTATTTTATTTCAGGCTTTTGCAATTATTTGTGAATGGCATAACAAATATTACATCACAACCATGCAAAAAAAAAACAACAAAAAAAACAGGTATACCGGTAGTTTCTAATGTTAATAGAATGTGCTTAACCTTTTCACTATCAGGTCTTTCTTTTCATCACAAATTTACAAAATAGTCCTGTTTATACATTCCTTCAGAAGATTGGGACGAAAATAGCCAATTTTTTTTGAGTAAAAACTGAAAATTGACTCAAATTTTGTCTGTTGGCTCCAAATTTGGAGTTCATTTCCAGAAATATTGAAGACTATACGAAAAAAAATGTAAAAAAATTTGGGCGAGAAAGACTGCTGGTGAAAAGGTTGAAGTTTGACCATGCATTTATTGGTTTAAAGATATTCAAAAACTGCATTTAAAATTGATAAACACATACATCTAAATACAAATGTATCTTTATATTCTGACATTGTTGTAAAAGGAATTGTACTTACAGCTAATTCAAGATAAATACTTTTTTGTTTCAGAGCAGCTGATTTCTTGGCTGTGATGTTATAATCCCAACTACAGAATATTTTTGTAACATAGAAATTGAAATTTCCACTTCCTAACACATAGGATGCTTTATAGGCTTCTGACATACTGCAAGGTCAAGAAACATTACCAATTATGAATACATGTATAATATTTGAATGAGATGTGAATGCAGCATTGTGTTTTGGTCATGCTAGATGTCAGCAAAAACTTGATCAAATTTAGTCCACAAAAACTAACTTCTTTTGGCTAACAGAAATGGTTGGGGTACAATAATTGGAACTTTTAAACAAGAACCATAAAATCTGTATTAGAAGCTGCATCCCTAATAGTCAAAACCATTCTTTTTTAATTAAAAAAACATCTGTAACTTAAAACAGGCTTTACAGCTTGTTAGCTCTTGGATGCTCTTTTACACCCACAATTTGTGCATGCGCATATTATTATCAGCAACATTTAATTTTTTTAAATATTTGTTAACACTTATGGGACTACAGTAGTTAAATCAAGTGGGGTGAGACCAAAATAAATGACATAGAGACAAGGGTGCTGGTAGGTAGGTATGGGGGGAGCATCACACCCTCACGTGCAGGCGTCATAGCGGCCGACCCCATGATGCAATTCGCAGATTTGAATTACATCATGACATAGACAACGTGGTACCTGAGAGTTGGTGGTCACTACGGCAACCTCACAAGTAGACGTCATAAGAGTTGTTGCCACAGTATGAGTCACAATTTAGACTAACACTGCGGCAAGAATACCGTGGTACCCAAGCAAGGCTATGTATGCTGCAGTGACAGCCCCCAAATTACGCATAGAGAACAATGAGCATGATTGTGTTAGTAAATGCAAGTCATGCAAACAAGATTTAATTCGCTTTGATGAGGTGGTAGCATGGATAAGAATAAGAATAAAAATCCAATTATGACAAGAGCAAAAGTGGTTTAAATGCGACGATAACGCAAAAGTGTAAGTCATGTGCTCAGCGAATGCATAAATAATAAAGAATTACGAATCCGAGTAAAACGATGCACAAAGTCAAGTTAAATGCTTTTTAAAAATTAATGAATGACATAAATAGTAAAGTGAATTACAAATGCGAGTAAAACGTTGCACAAAGCCAAAAAATGTTTTTTTTGTTGTTTTTTTTAAAAATTAAATGATAAACAAGGATTAACTATAAACAAAAGTGGTGCGAACCATAGCTAAGTAGCAATCGCCTGTCTGGGATGGCTAAT